GGAGTACCCACCGCTGCTGGAAGAAGGTGAAGAACTATTCGAACTACTACTACTACTATTCGTGCCAGAAGTGGAATCCGAAGCTGTATTGTTTGGTTGAACTGTCTGTTGAGGTTGGAGAGTTGAAGTGTCCTCTGCCTTAGTTTCGTTGCTTTTCTCAGCTTCGGCAGCTAAACGTTCCCGCTCCACTCGCTCGGCTTCGGCTCTTTCGTTGGCTTCCCGCTCAATTCTTTCTCGTTCAATTCTTTCGTTTTCACTGTCTTCGCCAGTTTTCTCATTTTGGGTATTATTGGCAAGAAAACTTAATATTTTCCTCTTGCTTTCGGTAAGCTTTCTCGCTGAATTATTGATTTCTCCGACCATGTCGACTACCAGCAGGTTTTTTTGCTCAGGCGATAATTCAATTTCTCGTTTAGTTTCAATCTCTTTTTCTAAAATTAAAGCAAAGTCTTTTAAAATTGCTTCAATTCTTTTCGTTAAAACTTCATCACTTCCGCCACCTTTAATCATTTCACAAATGTTTTTGATGGCTTTATCGCGAATATCTTCGACTTTTCCTCAATTGGCGGCATTTTTTATTGGTGGTTCGTAATCCAAATCTGGACCTAAAATTTTTTCTTTAATGTGCTTTAAATTAGAATTACTCTTAAGTTGCCTGTTTTTTGGGGCTAAGACAAATACTAAATCATTTAAATATTCGATAATGGCTTGCTTTTCTTCTTGGGTGATTGGTTCACTGGTTTCGCTGGAAAAATCAGGAAGAGTTTCAATGATATCTTCTTGATCAATTTCCTCTTCCTTATCTCTAATATCTTTTAACTGCTGAATTAATGAATTTATCTCGCTTTCTTTTTTTTCAAGAACTCACTTAATTACTTCTTGATTAACGGCTACTGGCTTGTTTATGTCAATTCAATTGTCTACTTCCTTAGTTTCTATAACGAATTTTAATTCTCCGTCAACCTTTCTAAATCTTTCAGATTCTACTGTTTTTTTGCCATCAATAATCATAGTTTGTATTTCAACTTCATAACTGGTTGCCTCTTGTAGCGAAGTAAGAAAATTCTCAAACTCAGTTAAAAATTGAAGATTTTCCTCCTTGCTTTCCTCTAAACCACGACCTTTTTCTATTTTTTCATTTAATTCTTCTAATAATTTGACTTTGGCTTTTCTTATCTCGCCAATTCGGCCAACTACTCCTCCATAAAGACGCCCTAATTGCTTATCCATTCTAGCTTTTTTTTCCTTTTCATTGGGGCCTATTTTGTATTTTTCAATTTCTAATTTTTTGTATGCTCTGACACAATTAATTTGTCCCGGTTCAGTTAATTCTCGCTCAGTTAATTCTAGTTGATCCTTTTTGCCTTTTAACATTTCTTTAAATCTTTCGTAGTCAGTTTTTTCGATGCCGAACATTTTCTTTAACTTTAATATTGTAATAAACGCACTCTGAGCATCATTAATAACTTCCAAATATTTTCTCGTAAGTTCGATGGCTTGATACTGATAAGTTCCCCCGAGGCTGGCCACAAAATCCGCTACTGGCTTAAATTCTCCTTTTTCGTCCCGCAATTCTGGAAATTCTAATTCTTCTTCGTCTCTTCGGTGGAATTCATTATAATCCGTTAAGTCCTCCACCGTTAATTCTTTATCATCTAATTCTTCTTGGATAATAAGTCCAATTTGTTCACCAAATCTCTCGTCAATTAATTTCCCGTCTCTTTTGATTTGCTTTCATTTTTTTCAATTAAGATATCCACCATATGCACCAACGTCTAAGTCCTCAACTAGACAAAAATCATATTTCCTTTTTTCTTTTCCGCCACCCATAATTTGTTTATAGGCATTGTCCATTTCTTTAAATTTTTCGGCATCGCCGCCTCGGTCAGGATGAAGTTTAACGGAGAGTTTTCTGTAGGCTTTTTTGATTTCTTCCTCCGAAGCGGTCTCGGGAAGACCAAGAATTTCATAATTTTCTTTCGTGGCACTAAAATCATTTTCCAGTCTTTTTTTAACTTTGTTTTTAGCTGCGGCAATGCTCTCTTCGTCCTTACCAATATATTCTTCTAAAAATTTATCGATTTTCTCCTTTTTTGTTAAAATTGCTGATAAATTATCCCTTTTAACATTTAACCAGTCTTGCCAAGTAATATCTTGGGTCGGAAAGGGTCGCTTACAAAATTCCTCAGAGCGAAAATGGTCTCGTTCGGCTTCCTCATTAAGAAAAGCGGTTAGAGCATCAGGATTACAACTGTTGGCAATGGCTTCACTAGTTTCTTTGATGATTTTTTTCCGGTGAAGAGAATATAATTTATCACTCATTCCATCCCAAAAACTGTCGTTTGCTGTTCCCCATTCATTTAATCCTATTGGCACCGAGACTAATTCGCTTTTATATTCATTTCACTCCTCGGCTGAAAGTTCCGCCAGGAAAGGCGATCTTTGGGCTTCCTCAAATCTGTCTTTTCGAAGATGAGTATAACGGAGAATTCCAATATTGGATTTTATTCAATTTTTAATATTTTTCTCATCTTCATTCAATTTATACATTTTATACAAATAGTTAAGCCAATTTTGGTAGATTTCCGCTTCGGCTGGCGAAGAATAATTTAATATTTCTTGGGTGTCTTGCCCGTTCATAAGTCTTTTCACTTCTTCTATACTCTCAGAAATTTTTCTAACTATTCGGGCTAAACTGCTTAGTTCTTCAAATCTTTCAGAAAAGTTCTCTGAATTACCAATTTTTTCTTGAAATTCGCTGTAAATGTGATCTTTTACTCTTTTTTCAACTCATTCTGTTAACTCTTCTAAATCCAATAAATCTTTCAATTCTTTTGGAGCAAAATTTTCTACTATTTCCTTATTCAGACCTTGTATTTCTTCTTCGGAAACCCCAAAATTAACTTGGTAGTTTATCGGAAATTTCGCGATTAGCCGTTTATAAGCTTCTCAGTCTTTAATGCTTTCCTCTCTGTTAGATTCAATTATGCTTCGTTGTAAAAATAATTTTCGATAGGCTTTTTTTGATTTCTAGAGCAGTAGCATCTTCATTTAGATTTAGTATTGTGTAGTCATTCATAATATTTATAATTTTAATTCTATATTCTTATATGTATATTAGATTTTTATAAAGAGAGAGAGAGAGAGAGAGAGAGAGAGAGAGAGAGAGAGAGAGAGAGAGAGAGAGAGAGAGAGAGAGCAGTTTTGTAAGGAAGATACTCTAAGTTTTACATTCTCTCCGGAGCGGTAATTCCGGCTAAATTCAAGCCAGTTTTTAAGATCACTTTTACTCCGTGGGTAAGGAGAAGTCTTTGTTGGGTTTTTGGCAAATTTTTTTCTTCAATGATTGTTTCTTTTTGGTAATAAGTTTGGAACACTTGAGCTAAATCAGTGAGGTAATAAATTAGATGATGAGGTTTGTTTTCCTCAACGATTAATTGAAGAACAAAGGAAAAACGTAATAAGTTCTTTAAAATGTTTCTTTCTTCTTGACTTCAAGGCAAGTTAAGGTTCTCGTAATTTAGGCCTATTTTTCTGTCTTGGGCTTTGGCTAACAATTGATGACAACGGGCATAGGCGTATTGGGTGTAATAAAGGCGCGTTTTTTCCTTGTTTTCTTTTAGCAACTCAACATTGATAGCTAGGGGTTGATTGTTTTCTTTTTCGAGCAGAAAAAATTTTAATTGCTCTATTTCCATATATTTTAAGGCTTCCGCTAATTCAATAGTGTTCCCGGCTCGTTTGGAAAATCTTTCTGCTTGACCTTCCTTGGTAAGTAAATTAACTATCTGAACCAAAATTATTTGCAAATCCTCCGGCTCGTATCCTAGCAATTGCCAGGCACTTTTCAGTCGGGCGATAGAACCATGATGGTCAGCACCTCAAATATTAATTAATTTGTTCGCCCTCTTTGCTTTATCTTGGTGGTAAAGAATATCCGAAAAAAAGTAAGTATAATCTCCGTCCTGCTTAATAATTACTCGGTCTTTGTCATCACCATTTAAACTACTACGGAAAAAAGTGGCGCCTCCTTGAGTATAAATTAAATTCTTTTTTTTTAGTTCAACCAATAGTTCCTGGTGCTTATTTTTTTCGTATAAGCTGGTTTCCGAAAACCAAACATCAAACTTAACTCCACACTTTTCTAAATCCTGGCGAATTTTGGTTAATATTAACTTTAAAATTTCTTTTTTTCAAAGAGCCAATTCCTCTTTATTCAACTGCTTATGAATGTATTTGCTGCTTCATTTTTCTCTTAATTCTTGGGCAACTTCTTGGCTGGCTTTACCGGAATATTCTATTTTCTCGAGTTCAGCAGGGAGAGAAACCCCTTGTAATTGGTGATAGAAGTAGTAAATAGAGTTAATTAGAGAGGTAATTTGTCCTCCGCGGTCATTAATATAATATTCTTTAATTGCCTGATAACCACAAAACTGGTAGACATTGGCCAAAGCGTTGCCAACAAAAGCATGACGAAAATGGGCTAAATGGAGATAGCCAGTAGGGTTAGTGGAAACATATTCCAGCAAAACAGAATTTTTGGGTTGAGCGGAGAGACCGATTTCCCTCCCGCCGGGGAACAGTTTACCAGTCACAATGTTTTTGAGAAATTGATAATAATAATTGTCAGTTAAGCGAAAATTGAGATAACCTCGGGGAGTAATTTCGCCTTGTAAATGCGGATTATTTTTGGTCAAAGCAAGTATTTTTTCAGCAATGCCTTTTACCGGTTGGTTAGTTTTATGAGCAAGAGGCAAAGCTAAATTTAGAGCAAAATCGGCTTTAATGGTTGCGGGAACGTTTCATTGTAAAAAAGAATGACTTCATTTTATGCCATTTTGGCAAGCGTAATTTTTTCATTGAGAAAGCAAAGAATTGATAATGTTCTCTTCGTCCATAGCCAGGTTTATATAATTTTTTAACTTAATTACCAATAAACCATGATGATTGAATTACTCAAAATAAGAAATCGGAAGGTTGACCAGAATAAAGATTTTACGAAAAACTTGGAAACCCAAAATTTTTACTAGCGGCAACTAAAAAAGGTTAGAAAGCAAAATATGACGCAAAAAAGAATTAATTGCTAAAAATCTTTTATACCAAGGCGGAAAGTGGCCTAACGGTAAGGCACTTGGTTTGGGACCAAGGGATTGCAGGTTCGATTCCTGTCTTTCCGACCATAAAAATTATTATTTTATACCAAAAAAGAGGTTCATCATAAACTTTTATATTTTATTCTATAAAATTTGTATATGGGTTGCTGAATTTTTAAAAAAATTATTTGATTTTCTAAAATCTAACCTCTCTCTGAATAAGTATTATGGAAATTATTAAAAAAATTCGAATGACTGAATGTTCGTTTGATAAAAGAACTAATAAATTATTTTTCATTATTAAACAATATACTTATACTCCAAAAATAGTTAGGTATGTTCAAAGAAATTATGTTAGAACCCCCCATATACGAGGGTTATTCAGAAAGAGTAAAAGTAGTAAGAACTTTTGATAGGGCAATTAGTCCTATAAGGTTTGTGAATGAGGAGATTTTAAAATTAGATTTAGAAAAACATTTTATCTTGTCTATCATTGAAAAGATTAATGTAATTCCGGAATGACGAAAAAGAGAAATAAAATTAAAAGAGATTTTAGATTTAATAAATACCACAAAACGACGCATACGCAATTATCACAATGAAAAAAAAGCATATTATTTTCGCAAAACAGACCTTAATGAAGAACCAAGCAACTTTTGACTTCGTTTAATTTTTGCTCCTTTTACTCTTGGTCTTTCATTTATTGGCTATAATAGTAAAAAACAGGCTTCATTAAACAAGAAAATTAATAAAGAAAATAAAGAGTGAAACACAAATCATAAAATAAAAATCGACCAAGAGAATTCTCTTCTTTTACAAGAAATAACGTCGTTTAATGAAAGAATGAATAACATTATTTCTACTAATTGAAATTTGTATAAAAAAACAAAAGAAGAAAAAACAGATTACTGACGCAAAGAAATTGACGGTGGCTGAGCGGACTTAAAACATTCTTCTAACTTTTCTTTTTCTTATCTTAATGATAAAAAAGGAATTTATATTATATGAAATAAAACAAAGGATAAATATTATGTAGGGCAGGCTAAAAGTTTAGGTGTAAGATTAAATCAGCATTTTTCAAATGGCGAGGTTAGAAATGTTAAATTTGTGAGAGATTGAGATGCTGGTGATTATTTTTGTTATAAATATTTTCTTTGTCAAACAAAAGATGAGTTAGATGCCCTAGAAAAACAAAAAATTGAGGAATATAATTCATTTGATGGAGGTTATAATGGCACTGGTGGAAATAAATAAGTTTAAAATTCCTCCGCCCAAAAACGAAAAGGAGAAATAATTGGTGTAAAATAATAATTGCCTAAAATTATTAATAAATCTATGACAAAAATCAGCAAGCAAGAATTTGCAAATTATGCAGACGAATTTTCTCGACTATTTGCTAATTTGAATGCTGAACTAGAAGGAGACATTCAAGAGGCTATTAAAAAACTGGCAAGACTAACAGTTCCTTATATTCGAGCCAAAAATTCCCTAGTTCTCAGGAAAATGATAGAAATTTTTCATAATTGAGGCGAACAATTTGGTGGCGATGACTATGCTAATGAACCAGTTTCTCGTTTTGGTAATTTGAGTTTGAAACAATGACTAGAAGAAATTGAAAAGAGATTAGAGGAGCATTATGTAGCAAAAGGGAAATATAAACCCGGTAAGCGTAGTTCTTTTGACTTAACAAAGCAAAAGTTAAATTGGTGTTACGAAAATTTTGAAGACGACGAAAAATTTGCGGCTATTTCTCCTTATTTGGATAAAGAGACTTATCAAGATTTATCAGGCTTTCGAGAACTTAAAAACAAAGTAAAAAAACTGTCTGACGAGTACAATCTTTCAAAAAATGATGATGACGATGATACAAAAGCAGAAGAAATAATGTGTAAAAAATACTATTTTATTGTTGATGACTTATACGCCAATTTTCAAGAAGCCGAAAGAAAAAAAGCAGAGAGAGAGAGAGAGAGAGAGAGAGAGAGAGAGAGGAAATGAGAATTCAACCAATACTTCGCCCTCTCAACCCGACCAAAACAATCACTTTTCCGGTTCTCAATCGAACAATTCTCTAAGTGCCGAAGCCCAAGCCGAAATAGCCAAATTACAAAGAGAAAAAGACTGAGCCGAAGCCAAGGTAAAAGAACTTCAAGACAAATTAATTAATAGTGCTAATTTATCCCAAGATAAAATTAAAGATTACGAAAATCAATTAGCAACTGCTCTCAAAGAAGTACAAGATAAAGCCTGGCAAATTCAACGAACGCAAATTGAAGCAAAATCAGAGATTCAAGGGGTAAATCAAAATCCAACCTCTTCTTCCCTTGATTGAAAATGAGCAGTAGGGATTGGTTTAGGAGCAATTATTGCTATTCTATTGCTAATTTTGATTGTAGTTAATATTAGCCGTAAGAGAGAAAAGTAGCAATTGGTAGTGCGATCAGAAAAAGCTCACCCTTTGAAATAACCTGTCTATGCACAATGATTTTTTTCGTGTCTTCTCTCTTCGCATGAGTTACATTTCGTAGATGCACAATCAAGACAAATAGGAGATATTTCTTCTTTCTTATTAAAAAAGGCACAATAAAAATTACCTTTGTTTTTTTGGCACTTAGCACAAATTAAAGGAAATATTTTCAGTTCTCAGTAAGGAGTTAGTTTTTCCAAGTAAATTACTAAACTATCCAAAGTGAACTTATTTAAACGGTAATGCAAAATATCTTGGGTTTCGGCTGTGCTTATCTCAATTTGCTCGGCAATATCCTTTGCGGTTAACTTATTTTCTCTTTTGCAACGAATAATTCTCTGGCAAATCTTGTATTTAATTTTTTCCAAAGGAATAGGATTTTCTGGCAAACCCCATGAACCCCCTTGATAATTAGGGTCAGTTAATTTATCTAATATTTCCTTATCTCTTGCTGGATATTGATAATTGTAATTTTTATTCATCTTATTTACCTCTTATTATCTTTTTTATCATATTGGTGTCTTCGGTAGCAGGTTCGAATGCCGAGAAAATTAACTCCGTCTTTTAAGCACCAAATCATTTCGTAGGCTCTTCAACCCCGAAAAGTTATGTAAGAATAATATCTTCATTCACCTTCTTTCTCTTCGGGTTCGAAGTCGCCATCATTTAACCGCAAGCGTAAAGCAAAATTATAAATAACTTCATCAGTCATATAACTACCATGCTCTTCTTCGTAATGAGGATCAATGTGGATTTCATTTATTAATTGATTGTTAATTATTCCTGCATAAGGATAAACTCGGTAACCCTCTTTGGTAGTGCAGAGCAACTTGGGCAATGTTGTTCAGTCTTGCATTAGTTATATTAATATTTTTAATTTTGCTTGTGATCTAAGTCCAAGATACAGTGGAATAAGCTGCCGAAAAGAAACTATTTTACAGCAATTTTTCAATGTAAACAAAATAGGGAATAAACTTTATAAACTCTAATTTTCTAATCTCATTTGAATGAATTCTTTGTCAATTTCTTCCAAAAAAGAAGAATAGCCATCTTGCTTGCTGCTAATTAAAAATAAGAGTTTTTTTGCTCGGGTGATTCCCACGTAAAAAAGGCGTTTTTCTTCCACTAAGTCTTTATTTTCTTTGTAAGGCAAGGTTCCTTCATCTAAGTAAACAAAAAAAACAATCTCAAATTCTAATCCTTTGGCTTGGTGAATGGAGGAGAGAATCAGGTTATTGCGGGTTTTGATTAATTTCTTATCTTCAAAAGCAATCAAAAAATATTGTAAAAAGTCGCTCAACAATTCCGCCAAATTAACGTCAACCGTCCGCCGCTTTTTTTCCCAGTTTTGCACCACGTTGAGAAATTGCTGAATATTCTTTTCTCTCTCTCGCGGGTTATTAGTTTTGGTTTCTAAATGTTTTCAATAAGCAAAGGCTTCTAGAATTTCGGAAATAAAAGGAGTTAGTGGTTTTTTTTGGTCAAGGGCATTTTTAAAATTGTTGATTTTGAGGACAAATTCACAAATTTTAGCTGTCTGTTTCGGGCTAAGTTTCAGTTGTTCCGTGGTCGCGTTTTCTTCATTTCCTGCCAGGGAAAGGCTGACAATATTTTGATAATTATTTAAATAGTGATAAATGCCTTCTCCTTGTTTTTGGCTGTTGATTTCAATTTTCTCAATAGTGCGAGCACCGATGCCATCCATTAGATTTAAAACTCGCAATAAGGAAAGGTTATCTTGGTAAAGAATAGTCCGCAAAAAAGCCAAAACATCTTTAATTTCTCCTCTTTCAATAAATTTAAAAGCCCCGAGAATTTCGTAAGGGATTTTTTGGGCGATTAATTCTTGTTCAATCCGCATGGAAAGATAATTATTCCGGTAAAGGAAAGCAATATCATTGAATTGACATTTTTCCCTAGTCAACAGCCAACGAATCCGGCGAATAATCAATTTTAAAGGAAAATGACTAAACTGGATTATTTTGGCTCCTTCCGTTTTGGTGGGAACTAGAAGATTACTAATCAATAGACCATTGTTTTTTTTGACAAAAGAGTTGGCCAAGGAAAGAATGTTATTTGTTGAGCGATAATTAATATTTAAATAAACCACAGTTCAATCTTTGTTTTCCGCCAAAGAGGAAATTAAGTGCGGGCTGGCGCCCTGAAAGCCATAAATAGCTTGGTTGGGGTCGCCCACCAGGAATAAATTTTGTTGTTTGCTAGTCAATTGTTGGGCAATTTCTCACTGAATATCATTAACGTCTTGGAACTCATCAATTAAAATGTGGACAAATTGCTTTTGGTATTCGCTTTTTATTTCGGGGTGGAGACGAAAAAGTTTAATAGTATAAATTAGCAAGTCATTAAAGTCCAAGGCTTGATTTTCTTGTAAGTATTTTTGGTACTCTTGGTAAATTTGGTATCTTGGGCGGTCAACTTCCGTTAAGTTTAACGGGTCAACCCCAAAACTATTTTTCCAGCGACCAATTAAGGAAAGAATGGTGCCAATTTCTTTTTTTTCCGCATTATAATTAAGGTCATAGACTATTTTTTTGATAATATTTTCTTGGTCGTGGCGGTCATAAACCGGAAATTTGTTTTCGGGAAAACCTAATAAAGAAGCGTGTTTGCTTAAAAGAGAATAACAAAATGAATGAAAGTTATAAATATTCAATTCTGATTTTTGGGCTGGACTGGTGTAGGGATAAATTCTTTTTTTGATTTCTTTAATGGCTTTTTTGGCAAAAGTCAAAACTAAAATTTGCCGGGGTTCAATTTTCTTGGTAGTTAATAAATGAATAATTCGACTAATCAAAGTTTTAGTTTTTCCGCAACCAGGTCCCGCAATCACGCAAATTAATTTATGTTCTTCTAAAACTGCTTTTTTTTGTTGGGGGTTTAATTCTTGTAAGTATTCCATTACTATAAGAATTTTTGGTTCGTTTTCCCTTTTGGCAAGAATGGAAAAACAGTTAGTTGAATGTTCGTTTTTTTATTTTAGTCTATAGCACAAAGAAACCCAACTAAATTATAAATCTAAAATTCCAAGGAAAGTAAGAAAATTAATGTACAAGATATTATATATTTGCGCGTGTGTAAGAAGCCATTAAATTTAACCATGATTTTTGCTATAAGTATATTTTATGGTATACCAGCTAAAAAGAGTGCTGAAACTAGGCATTATTTGCTTAAACTTTTCAACATTTTGCTCTAATTAGGCTTAAAATAAATTATATTGTCTATTGTCAAGATTTGGGTAGGTGAAGGTTCTAAAAAGACTGAACATCTGCCTGAAGCCTCCTAAATCTAACCAAATCTCGAGAGTAGATTAATATGACTCCGAGAATTAAATTCAATCATAAAATTGTTATATATTCTAATGAAAAAAAAGCCAATCCAAAGACCACTAAAAGTAAATTGCTTTAAATGCTCTCATCCTTTTGCGGTGAAATTTAATCCGGGTCAAGGAAAATATGTCGTGAAGAACAACTGAAGCTACTGAACGAACAAAAAAACCAATCAAGATAAATATATTTGCGATGCCTGCCTAATCCATCTCTACAAAAAAGACAAATGAGAATATCTCGAGAATATCACTAATGAAAGCCGCAGGAGAATTTTACGCACTTACATTTATGATAATACCCTCGAAGCAAGGGGTTAATCTATTATTTTTTTCGTATCAATTCTAATTACAAGTGTAAAAATAGTATATGGATAAAAGCAATCTAGAAGAACAAAATGCCGATGAATTTTGCCGAAATATACCTTTGGAAGAGCATGGTTGCTCTCCCTGTCCATTCTCTGGTATTGTCGCTTCAGATTTAGAAATAATCCCTTTTGAAGATGGAAAAAGATTTCTCTATGAGCTTTCTGTAGAAGATGAAGATTATTGAAATACCCCTTACTCTTTTTTCAAAACTTCTCACTATTTTTGAGCCAAAGGTTTTTCTCGATACCAAAATGAAGAATGGTTAAAAGAAATACTAAAACCCGGAACCAAAATAAAGTTCCATGGAGATTTTGTAAAAGTTGAGAATACTAGAATTGAAGGTCTTAAAAGTAGCTGGGAGATATGAGAGAAAAAGATTGCTTAACTTTTGCTGCCTTTGATTTTGATATATCAACAAAAGGTTTAATTGAAATTTAACAAAATATTTGCCTGTCGGCGTTTTTTCCGGAAGAGCTTGGGAAAGTGATAGCTTTTCAAAGTGATAGCTTTTCTTTAATTAAAAGTTGCTGGAAGCGCAAGCCAACTTATTGGCCGAAGTAAATTATTTAAGAGGGCAAGAAATAAACAGCCAACACCCTAGGAGAGGATAATTGGCTTGATAAGTGCCTATGGAAAGGGGATTTTTGACTGGGAGTTATTAGTTAGCTTAGAAGTAAAAATTAGCGAGAAAAAACAAAGAAAAGGGTAGCTGTGGACAGATGTTTTTTTCAGAGAGCGTCAGTGGACTGGAAGCGAAGTAATTTTAATTACGTAGCGAATTATTTTACCAGAAAAGACCGAGCAGTAGGGTATAAAGCAATGGGAACGAAGCAAATTTTAATTTGCGAAGTGAATTATTTAAGGCAGGAGGAGAGTTTAGTTAGGTTTATGGAGAATTTGGGCTTGTTGGAGGGTGGCTTGGTATTCTTGCCTTAAAGAGTTAAGGTCACTGTGATTTAAGACTTGTTCGGGGGTGAGGTTTTTGGTGTCGCGGA